CCCACCTTCACAAACCCATGACGCTTACGTCATCTGCTCGCACAAGAATTTACCAAGAGACAATCCACCGCACCCACATGATATTAAGACTAATTATAAAGTGCATTAAAATATCAACTGATCGTGAAGAGCATTGCTGCCATTGAGTTACATGGATACGGTCACTTAGAAGTATTTGAGTCGTTCGTTTTTTTATTGCATAAGCTTGCCGATGAATCTATTGACATATATTTGTGCCTTTGGGTATAATAATTGTTTGATTTCCTTTTCGTATGAATATCGTCGAATAATTTTAAGGACTTTTTATTCGTATTTTCCGTATGCTCGTGGTACTCAGAGGGAGTAATCAATTGTTCCGTTACCCAATTAACAACGTGATTATTGAGGGTTGAAGGGATGGATCAATGAAATGAACATTGCCTGTAGTACTGTGCTGACAATTTCAAGTATAAGAATTTGCATATTATAGTGTTAAGGTTTTTGTTTAGAATAGCATGCATGCATGTTTTAACGACTCTCCCTAACATCAATTAGGCTCGCGTTACGCGGTGGTTGCCAAAGTGAAACAACACAATCGTTAATGTTTACTGTGTTGATACTGTGTTGAAAATTCCTAGCTTGAGAGTTCGCACATCATAACGTTAAGGTTTCGTTTAGAATAAAATTTATTAACTCAGGAGTGGTTGCGTGTTTCTTGTCTGAAGTTCATAATAATCTTATTTATAAGAACTGTATTCTGTGTTGAGATCTGAATTTGGAGACCTGACATAAACACACTAATACACTCAGTAAATGTTAAAGTGAGAATAATTGTATTACCGAGCGTTAATACAAACCTAGACAACTAAGCAGAGCCTACTCTGGCATACTTGCATCACACTGGCATAACTTCATACGATTAATTGTCTTATCCCGATTGATAATCCGACCCTCGTCAGCGAGGCAGGGCCTGTTTATAATAACGGCTTTCATTAGCATAATCACACCCACTCTCATAAATCTCTCGAATTAGCATAATTGTACATAATTACATCAATTATGTGCATAATTACATCAACTAACATAATTTAACATACATATGTGTTTCTTTAATTCATTTACCTTTTATTATTTTCATCAACATTTTCACAACCGACATATACAACAAAACAACGCCCCGAGTAGGCCCTGGGCAAGGATCCTCCAACTGAACATTGCGGAACTCTTCCAGGCGAAATGCGAGTATCTTGCTATCATAATGAAAATCTGACATCTGGGTGATGCTAATCCAACAAAATACCGGACAACAAAAGTTATGCCCAATTATATAGCCTCCAAACTCGTGGATAACACGAAATAATCGCCTGACAAAAACATCTAGCGAGAGATCCATTGCCAATTACACCAGACATTGACCTAAATTTCTTTACAAGACTCCACTCCATCAGCACAGAGGAATTGAGGGAAGGTATGGCTGCAACGAAGAAAGGCAAGGCTGCTGGCAGAAGTGTCCCCCAAGAATTCTTCCATCATTTAGGCCCTAGGGGACTCTAATGGTTGGCAAACCTTTACACCAAAACCATGAAAACTGCATACATCCCAAAAGCATGGTGGGAGGCGATGGTCATTGCAATACCCAAACCGGGCAAGCCAACTGACAATCCAGGAAGCTATAGGCCAATATTACGTCTGCGCACGACCTATAAATTGTTGGAATGTATCATCCTACAGAGAATCAGCCCTTTTGTCGAGTCAGTTATCCCTCAAGAACAAGCGGGATTTCAGCCTGGACGCAGCTGTTGTGACCAAGGTGTGGGCCTTGCGATGCACAATGAGGTCGGATTATAGGAGAAATCCGAGAACGGCACGGCCTTTGTGGACTTGTCATCGGCCTACAACATAGCTTAGATAAAGGGCTTGATGTTGAAGCTTGCAAGGACCATTCCTTGCCTTGAAACAATATAACTGATGTAGACGATGCTGAGCGATAGGCTACTGCGTGTCTATATGGGCGTCAAAGTCAGCTCATCCCGGTTGTTCAACAATGGTTTGTCACAAGGTTCAGTACTCGCACAAACGAGTCAATGTCTACACCAGTGACATGCCACCAACCGGGTCATGCAACTTTGTATATGCGATTACCTTGCCCTCGCAACACAAGCAGCCACTTTCAATGACATCGAATCAACTCTGAACAAAGACCTAACACCATAACGGAATATTTCTGGAAATGGTGGCTCAAGCCAAATACCCACAAAACAACGGTCACTGCAATTCATCTTGATAATAGGAGCGCCAAGCGCACTCTGAAAGTGACCTTCTGCGGCAACACTGTGCAACATGACCCCACTCCAACCTATCTCGGAGTGAAGATGGACTGTACACTAACCTTCCATGATCAATTGAACAAGGTTTCCGTCAAGACCAAAACAAGAGTCAACCTGGTCTAGAAACTGGCAAGAACAAGATGGGGAGTATCAACACCAGTGCTACGGAAATCCATGATGGGTCTTGTGTACTCTGTAGCTAAATACTGTGCACGAGTATGGACCAGAAGTAGTCACACTCCACTTGGTGATGTCGAACTGAACACTGCAATGTTGTCTTGCTGTGGTTTGGGATTGTTTTTGCTTTGGTTTTACTGCCTTGAAGCTTAAGAATTGATTAAATTATATACTTTATTATTTAAAGGGTGCCACGGTTGTGTGATGTTATCTTCCTTGCCTGGTATGTAGTGTGGGGGTTTTATCCCAACTCTTACGCCTGTATAATGGGAATTTGCATGTTCTCCCCGTGGTCGCATGCATTTTTTCTTTGGGTCCTGTTTTTCCCTCCACATTTAGAAACATGCGTTTAGATTATTTCGATTATTTTGCTGCTATACATTTACACACAAGCCATTTCGTTGAGTGATCATATGTGGCCTGGTCGCTTTTGAAAAGTCTCATAGCTCAGTGATCGTTACCTGGTAAGACGACAAACATTCTTTAGTTTTATTTGTATATTAAGTGATTTGTTTACCTTTCCTATGCATTGCACTCCAATCGTGTTTTGTATTGTTTGTTGTTGTAAGGTTGTGACATGGCCCTACTGGACCCATCAGATTCATTCTACAGTATAAATAAATATTCTGATTCTGTATTGTGTAGCATCAAAAACAATTTAATAGGTAACGGCCGAGGTTATGTGTGTATGCATTAATGATCTTGGTTCAGTTAATCTACCTCCGAATTGAAAGTGAGTAATAACCAGTCTAGGAGTAAGGATAACCGTGATGAGTAGATTATTAAGCTTCATGATAAAGCATGAAGCAGATACAAAAATGTATTTGGTAAACCCAGTGGTTTTAAAGCATGATTTAAGTTTGATGTATGCAATACCTATGAGGCATAAAGGTAGTAGTCATTCAATTTGTTTATGTAGAAGATGAGAAACAAGATTTGATTCTATAAAACGTTCCCTTTGATTCATCATTAAAACTGTAAATTAAAAATTTGAAGTTCAGATGAGAAACGAATCAGATATTGAGATACTTGTATATGGAAACATTTTCAAGTGTTGAGCTGCAGAGAGTGAATATGGACAAAGTACAATGGCTCTAAGCTAGTGGTTCTCCAAGTGTAGTCCCCGGACTACCCGTGGTCCACGACTGTTCTCTAGGTGGTCCGTGGGCTGTGATGCAAATGCAGGTTGATGTGGAAATCATACTGTTTGTTTCGGACATTCATATTTTACTTATGAAGTTAGGTAATGCGTTTTGTCACCAGGGCTGAGTAGCAGGGCGGTCCGTGAAAATGTTTGCATCAGCTGAGTGGTCCGTTGGCCAAAACAGTTTGAGAAAATTGCTGTAAGCTGTATCAGAGTTTGTGATTCTAAAGTATGTTTTTGTCTTATTTTCATTCAGGTAGACTTTTAAGGGTATTGTTTTTTTCATAGTTTTGAAGTCACTTCGTATTTTTTCTTGCAATGTGACCTTGTTTCCAGAGTCATGAAATAAATTGAAATAATGAAGTAAGCACCCAGCAACTATACGTATGGACAAGCAGTGATGTATTTGTCCTGATGCAACCTATTTTGTACTTGGGAATTTGAATACCTACATTTATACAGTAGCTGTAGCAACCGTGGCTTAGCAAACAAACACCTCGCTTGGTGCAACTACATTTTCAATACAAATATACTTCAATACAGAACATTAAGGGGCTTAACTAGCTAAAACGTTCATTGTTATTTTCATGTACGGAAAATACAATGTACGTTTTGAATCGATATTGTTAATTTGCTTAGCAATGAATAACAATGAGTAATTTCACTGATTTTTCATCCAGATAATTTTGAATATGTTGATGACATTTTTTATTATATTGGATGAGCTTTTCACAGAAAAGACAAACACACAAAATACAGTGCATTGTAATAGGCCTCTGAATATCTTCATATTCATTGATGGACATGAGCTATGTGAGAATTTTCTTTGCTATAGTGGTAACTAAGTCTCCCACATTGAGTCGAGATTACTATGGAAATATATTACTATGGAAGGTTAGTTACTCTCAAAACTATTATTATAGTGATAAATATAGTTACATCAAAATGCATGAGGTTGTTTGTGTTATATTTACGCGATCTAACCCAAAAACACTCAATTCTGGATGATATTGGTCGCGAAAGCCTACGTGTTAAACTACATACATTTTTTTACAAAGTTACTCTATTAATATTCTTGAAGAACAAGAAAGCTGAAATGTGGAACATATAATTACTTCTACGTTTATAACTAGAAATAATCTGAAAAACAACATTTTTCATCGTATGCTCCTCCTGCCATCCTACAAAAGTTTGCATCAGCACTAAGATTTTGGTTAAAAAATCCCAACCATCCAACGTCTAACCATGTAAATTCCAAAGCGTTCAGCAGATGTCAGTAAGACATCATACTAATGTCTATATAAGGTAACATGCTTCAAAGACCAAACAACTATGAAGCAGAGCTCTTGTCAAATGGAGTTCCTATTCCAGAGTACTATGAAGTGAATTATAATTTTATTGACGACAAAGAGCTGACAAGCTGAGTAGACCATATACAGGAATTTAAAATTAGAAACCCTTTCAAGTGTAAGTCAAGAACTCTAACCAGTGCCACCAGACAGAACTTCTGCACAAAGTGTGATGTAACTGACTTGCATCGATTAATAATTTAAACACCAGGGTCCATTTAAGAAGACTTACAAATGGATAAGAACCACAGGGGAAGAAGAGACAGAGGGGGAGACAAAAAATTACAAAAAACAAACAAGCAACGAAAGCAACTCAAGCAGTAACCAAAACACTGATAACAAAATTAATAATTTTAATCATTTATTTCTGTAAATTATAATTTAAGAACTGTGTGTAACATTCATAACACAATTACTATCAGTAGATGACCTTAGATGTCAATTGTCACTTACAGAAATATTCAATGTTCATAGTGAAAGGGATTTGATATGTTTTTATCATTACAATACATGTTAACATATGTAGAAGTAGCAATACAATGCAAAACTCATCACATATTATCCAATCGCCACTTGACAGAAAATAATGAACTGATAATGTACTGCAATTATGGATGGTATTACCAAATCAATGGAAATCAGTGACTCTCATGATTTTTTTTAAAGATGTAGCAACATATTCTTAAGTCTAAAAGATAATTTGCATAACAAATATTTAAGAGTAAACAATTTGTGGAATCGAAACGTGTGCAATCACCCAAGTTGGTTAGCTAACAGGGTCTATGCTTCCTCATTCCGTAACCCCTATATAACTACAAAAAGGTGGGCACTGGAAATGCTCAGGGCAGTGATTCATTCACTGCTCCTCTGATTGCAGCAAATCAAGACCGGGATTCCAGGTGAATTTCACTGAGCTATAGAGGCAACCCTGTAATGTATGGGCATACACACACTTGAGGGGTGGGGGAGACGGGGAACAACGACAATGTTATACACACATCTTGAACACATTTTAAAAGAGACACAATGGGTAACGATATGATTAAAGTTTGTCTACCATGCATTCATCTAGCTCTTTCCCCCATGTATGTGATGAAAAGCTGTGATGTCCATTGCTACACTCTAGGAATTTAGAAGGGGGGCTGAGCGTTCAGCAGTGGCGCTAGGCCCCGTTCAGCCCCCTGACGCTATGGGGCTGAATAGAAGTGTCTAATAGAGGTGTCTAATAGAGGTGTCTGATATAAGTGTCTAATAGGTGTTTAATGACATCCATTTTGGGACAAGAGCTGTAGAACAAAACAAGACTACCTTCAAGGCAGACTACGAAATGTCATAACCAGTTGCATGTCAGAAAACATTTCCACAAAACCTAATGCATAGGACACAATACCTAATCCATGATCGGCAAATTCACTCCACCCCCCATATTCACACTGGCTTGAATTGCTGGAAATAAAATAAAATAGTTTTAAATAATGTAAGTTAAATGTTGCTCTGTTGCTCAGCTTCTTTACTGCTATTGTTCTAGGATCTTGTGCACGTATGCAAGATGAAGCTCTTTATTCTGCTGCTGACAGCCACTGTTGCTCAAAGGTAAGTTTTTTTGGTTTAAAAGTATATTTAATCAAACGCACATTTCAGCTAATCTGTGAGTACATAAATGTGAGTACATAAAAGATTCTCCATGTGTCACATGAATATCCTGGTAAACATAACTTTTCCACGAAAGATAGTTGAAAGCAATTGCATTTTAAAGACAGTCTTGATTTGCTGTTTTATGCTGAATATGTATTTTTCATGATTTGCATTTTTTATGCTTAATATGTATTTTTCCTAAAACATTTAACATTATACAAGCAGTACTGAAGAGATAACCATAATTCAATGGTTATTGCACTTTGTTATGAACACAGTGACCTGAGTTTGAATCCCGGCCTAACAACGCTGGAAAGTGTTATCTGAACCCGTTCTGGGTCACCCATTCACCCACCAGCAGTGTCCATTGTGGTTAAGTATGGTCAGACAGCCTCACGACCAACACCCCATGGGGAGGTCTTCATCCAGCAGTGGGTTAAAAAGGGGCTCTTAATTCTGCTAAATAAAGAATTACTATTAAACAGCACTGAGAATGTTACTTTTACGTAATATATTAGGTTCTGAAAAGAACGTAATTTTTTGGTATTTTATGAGCCCATAAAATGTTATTGTCTTTCCAATATATTTTGTGTGTTGTTCTTTAATTCAATGTTTAAGTCTTGTTGTATTTTCGGTAATTTGGGTGTTCATTAGTTTCTAGTTTAATTCTTTATTGAATGCTTTAAAAATAAGTGGAACGATGGTTAAACATGTTTCATGAGTCCAATTAGCTGCCTACAATTCAAATGACCAACTACTTCATATGTAGTGACATAAAATGGGTCACTACGGTGCGTAGCGCTGGTTACTGGCAGAGAGGGGAATTGTGGGCATAACAGCCGACCTGCCAGCAGAGACGGGTGTAGCAGCCGTTCAGCCAGCAGAGCATGCAATGCCACGGAATGGGTCACTAGGGTGCATAGAGCTTGTTGCTGGCAGAAAGGGGCATATGAGGGCGTAGCAGCCCGGCCGGCTAACAGGGCACGTGATAGGCCGGGGTAAGGGATGTGGGGCAAAGGTGACTGAGGGGACACATGGGGTATAGCCCAGAACCTTCTGGTAGGTTGCAGAGGGCGGAGCCAGGCCACGCTGGGGGGATTAAAGGGAGGCCCCAACTCAGGGTCGGGGCTGTCATCTGGAATGGAACCCGTCGTGCTACCAAGTCTTCATCTCCGTCTTTGTCCTCACCTTCACCTCCTCAGCGTTGTTGGTCAGGCAGTGTGCTAGCTGTCCTGACCATAGTATAGGTATTCCCTGTACCTGTGATGGCTAGAATAAACGAGAGTGCTTCCTACTGTTAGTGCCTCTGAAATTATTCACTACATTTGGTGCCAGAAGTATTAAAGATTAAACAAGAAATATCTTTATTTTATATATAGGGAAATAAAAGATTGCTTTATAGTGTCAAAGTCAACGAGGAGGAAAGCTTTTACGGTAGCGTCCTCGGACAAAGAAGACGATATTGAGGTGATTCCCCAGAGAGCCCCGGAATTCACGACCCCGGTAACTGGTCCCGAAGAGGCCATCCCAGCGGAGCAGCGGGTGGGGAACGACGACTCTGTGCTGCTGCCGTTCGGAGGAGGACAGCGTGTACACAACACGCGCCTCGCGGACCTACTGTCCGCGGAGGTAGCGCTGATTGCGTAGCTGGAGGTGGAGGAGCTAGAGGAAGACACAGCGGTATGGGGGCAGTGAGCAGACAGCCCCACCATCGCCGCCGACCAAGCGCGGGAAACGACGGAGCACCGGCACATGTGAGCGGCCGCCATTTTGTCGATCGGGTGGGAATCGCCAAATTCGACCTGCCGCCAACATCTCGCCCGACGGTGCCTTCCCTCAAGAAGCGGCTGCCATCCGTGAGGGAGTTTGCAGCTGCGGGGGGCGACTGGGCAGCCTTTCAGCACTGTTTCACCGTTACATGTTCACTTGCGAGCTCTTCCTACCACCCTGGATGACAACGCCCTGGCGGCGTTCTATGCTGTTCCCCCAGCGGACAGGGCGATGCTGTCACAGGTGTATGCCCAAATGGCGGCAATTTTCGATCCACCATCCAATGCGTGACAAAAGTTCGTGATGTGAAGACGGGGGGAGGCCGAGATGCCCCTCGCCTTTCGCAGTGCGCTGATGTCACTAGCCCAAGCCGCATACCCAAAGATGGAGCAGGCGGGCCTGGACTCTCTGGTGCTGGAGAGACTGTTGACGTTGGCCCAGGAAATGGATGTTTTTCTGCCCACCACGGAGGATGACCGACTTCAATCAAGTTAGCTCGATGCATCCAGGTCCATTGTAACCTGTGACGGTGAGCCGGGGTGGCCGCCTGAACACGACCCTCGGGGAAGTGGACGAACTGGAGCGTCAGGAGCCCCCTCAAGTCTTTGCTTCGCTCGCCGAGAGTCCACGTAGGAGAGCCGACACGGGACGGCAACTGGAGTGGGAACAATGGAGCGGTACCTTCCCTTCACCGTGGAGGGCCCCCGTCTCCTGTTTAAAGTGTGGCCTGCGGGGCCACATCTCCAAGGGATGCCGCGCCGAACCTGAACAGTTCTTCCCGCCTTTGCCGTCTTCCACCCTGCCGACCTCTGCTCCTCCAGGCCCAAAGGCGAGTCGTGATGCATCACACACCCAGCTGACACAGCCACTTCACACACCTTTATCTTAGACTGTGTCGGATTTGCACATCGCCACTCCTTGTCGTGTCACGGTGCGTGAAAGTCGGAGTTGGCGGGTGGCGGATAGCCACGGGGTCCGGGCCAGTGGACTGCATTGGCACACCGTATTGTGACGGCGGCGGGATAATCCGCGATTGTTGGGACTGTGCAAGGTGTCGAGGTGTGGGTGCTCATCGACATGGGAACATCCGCTACCATCATTTTTGAGTTTATTTACAGGACCTTGCTGCCGAAATTGAGTTGTCTTAGTCCGGTGGGAAGGTCATGTGTCGCCACTAATGGTGGGATTTTAGGTATTGTGGGCCAAATATCGACAACAGTACGTATTGGGGATATTTAACTGACGGGCCCAGTGTTGGTTTCGAAGTCGTTGGTGGTGCCCTGTTTGTTGGGGACTGATTTTCTTGGGAGAATGCCCCTGAAGATTTTGGTGGTTCAGGGATGTGTTGAGCTGCCATCAGGGCGTGGATTGCCATTTTTATCATCCCCAATTCGGTTATGTATGGTCAACGCCACGGTTCAGGCCCTCGTAAAAGAGACTGTTAATTTTCGATTTAAAGCTGTCGTGACTGCAGGGATTCATCTTCTTGGTTCTTTCGGTAAAGTCACATAGAATGGAAATAAAATAATAAAAATAAAACATAATAAAATAAAATTCTCACGACGTTTCGGCCACAACACAAGCAGCCCTCCTCAGGTGAAGAAGCAGGACTGTCCAGAAGACAGCGCTTGAGTGAACACTGCCAAGCATGGATCACGTCTTTTAAGCTGTGTGGGCGGAATTAACATATGAATTAGCATGTTACCCAGCCCCACCTCTGGAGCAGATGAGGGGGGCGTTTGTGCACACAGAAAAAGAAAGAAGAAGAACAGCCAAGGTGCGCTGCTCTGTCCAGTGTTGCGTTATAACTATGCTATAAAATGGACTACTATATAATACAATATTATACCTTCCAATCTAAATTACATGGTATAATATCATATCCATAGACAAATTCCACCTTTAAATTATAAATGCATTACTATACACTACCCTATACTTTAGACTGTAAAATATTAGACTTGTAATATTACACTATGTATTAATCTACCAACCCTACTGTATACCACACTGCTGTATATTCACTATACAATTACGATACTATATATTGCCTTATGAATTATGTTAAACATTGCAATGTTATACTATTTATTGTTATACCACATGCTATAAACCATACCATTGACCGTCGTGTGAAAGGTATTAAGAGGCAGTGCCAGCGAATGGACTGCGGTCTGAAGGTCACCGTAAATACAATCAATTGTATAATTCAAAGGTGGAATTTGTCTATGGATATGATATTATACCATCTAGTTTAGATTGGAAGGTATAATATTGTTTGTATAGTAGTCCATTTTATAGCATAGTTATAACGCAACACAGGACAGAGCAGCGCACCTTGGCTGTTCTTCTTCATTCTTTTTCTGTGTACCCAGCCACCCCCTTCATCCGCTCCGGAGGTGGGGCTGGGTAACATGCTAATTCATATGTTAATTCCGCCCACACAGCTTAAAAGACGCGGTCCATGCTTGGCAGTGTTCACTCAAGCGCTGTCTTCTGGACAGTCCTGTTTCTTCACCTGAGGAGGGCTGCTTGTGTTGTGGCCGAAACGTCGTGAGAATTTTATTTTATTATGTTTTATTTTTACTATTTTATTTTCATTCTATGTGGCTTTACCGAAAGAACCAAGAAGAAGAAACTGTTAATGTTCCCCCCGGTGCACAGATGCTTGTGCCCCTGCGGCTGCAGAAGCAGCTCGATCGGGAAGTCAGAGTGGGAGGGATTATTTTAACCCCTTCAAACAGAGCGGTTCGTGGCCTCACGTTGGTGGGGGCCCAGACGATGGTAAGAAACCCTTCCTACAGGTGTTAAATGCTGGCCTTGGCGCCGCGGTTATACAGGCGGGTACGGTTCTGGCCCACGCGATGGCCGTGTGTTGTAGGGAGACCAGCGATGTGACTGCACAGGTCGTGGCCACAGTGAAGCGAGGAGGGGAGCCGGATGAGTTGTGTATGGATGCACTATGTTCCGAAAGTCCTGATTTATCCAGCGAGCAGCGGGGCAAGTTGCATGCATTGTTCCGGGAATTCTCGGACATTTTTAGTCAGACAAATATTGGTCGCATGTCCTTGATGCAACACCACATTGATATGGGTAGCGCCGCTCCTATACGCCAAAATTCATATAGATTTAATCCTAAGGAGAAGGACCATGTTTGCCAGGCAGTCGACGAGTTGTTGGCCACCGATATCATCTCCCCTTCCACCAGTCTGTGGGGAGCTGCCATTGTCCTTGTTAAGAAGCAGGACGGGAGTTTGCGATTTTGCATAGATTTCCGCAAATTAAACAGTCTTCGTGGCAGATGCGTACCCGCTCCCACAAATGGACGATTCGTTGGATGCCCTGTCAGGTGCGCAGTTTATCTCGACCGTAGACTTGTCAGGGTTTTTTGCAGTTGCCTCTGGATGAGAGCTCCAAACCAAAACCGCGTTCCAAACGTTCCAAACACCACGGGGGTTGTTTTAGTTTAACTGCTTTCCGATGGGACTCCACTCGGCTGCAACCATGTTCCAACGGCTTATGGAACTGGTGCTAACGGGCCTCTAATGGGATTCGTGCCTTATCTATTTAGATGACGTGGTCGTCTTTGGACACACGTTCCAGGAACACCTGCAGCGGTTGCAATCGGTTCTTGTCAAAATGCAGGCGGCCAATCTCAAGTTTAAACCACAGAAATATAACCTCTTGCAAAAAGCGGTTCGCTACTTGGTCACATTGCTAGCGAGTCCGGGATAGCCATGGACCCTGACAAAACTGCGTGCGTGCGCACGTGGCCAACCCCCACGTCGGTGGGTGAAGTTCGTAGTTTTGTTGGGTTTGCGTCGTATTACCACCACCACTTCGTGCCCGGGTTTGCAAAGATCACGAAACCGCTCCACACTCTCACTGCGAAAGGCCAAAGATTTCGGTGGTGGGAGGAGGAGGCTGCATTTGTTGCGTTGCGCGACAGCCTTGTTAACACACCTCCCGTTCGGTACCCCAATTTTTCCTTACCTTTCGTGCTGGACACAGACGCCAGTGACACTGGAATCAGTGCTGTGTTGTCACAGGTGGTGAACGGGGTGGAGAGCGTAGTCGCTTACAGGGGCCGTGTAGTCCCCCCCACAGAGCAGCATTATTGTGTGACGCGCCGCAAATTATTGGCTATTGCTAATTTTGTGCTTAATACCGTCCGTACTTTTATGGTAGACAGTTTGTTGTACGCACAGATCACGCGGCTCTTCAATATGCGCTGTGAGTTGACCAGCCGTCCGGACAGCTCTCCCAATGGTTAGAAATTTTCCAGGCTTATTTGTTTACAGTCACCTACAGGAAGGGTACATGCCACTGTAACGCGGAGGCGCTGTCGCTATTGCCGCCAAAAGAGCCAGTGTGCATGTTTGATAGATGCCGGCCATTGTAAACCTGCAAGTCCAGGATTGCCATGCACCATTGTAGCATTGGTGGACACTCCACTACCCGCAGCAACCATCACTTGCGACAACGTGTCACGCATGCGGAATGGGGATGCATCCAAGCAGAGGACGCCTCCCTGCTAAAATTGTGGCGCCACGTCGGAACGGCAGGGGGAAGAAAGGGACCACAGGGAATGTCCCTCGTGGTCGTCCAGGATGGGCTGCTGATGAGGTGGGATGTAGAGGTGCAGTGTTACTGCATCATTGTGCTGACTGCTCTGGGTGGTAGAGTCACTCGGGCTGTCCATGTGCAGTTGATGCACCTTGGGGTACAGAAAATCTTATCAACCATAAAGCGCGACTTCTTTTGGCACGAGATGTTGGAGGATGTCCATAATGTGCTTAGGGGATGTACTGAATGCGCTCACCAGAAGCCCCCACCGAGGCAGGCCCGACCACCGTTATAGTCTATCGAGGTGTCCCGTGTTAACGAGCTCGTTGTTCTCGACATTCTCGGGCCATTTCCCACCACTCCGAGGGGAAAAAAAATAATTGCTCGTCGGGGTGGAGTACCTGTCCTGGTGGCTGGTGGCATGGCCTCTGCTGGATCAATTGGCTGCGTCCATCACAGACGCGTTCCTTCATGGGTATGTGTTGGATAAAGGGACCCCGGAATGTCTTCTAATGGACCAGGGTCAGAATTTTTCTTCTAAATTATTAAAAGAGGTGTGGGATTTGCTGGGCACTAAAAAAATCAGGACTTCGCCCTACCATCCCCAGACTAACAGGATGGTAGACGGCTTGCACAGGACTCTCACGTCCATGCTGTGCCAACAAATTAACGAGGTGCAGTCCGATTGGGATTTACACGTTCCGGGTATTCTCCCCACCCCCCCCCCCCCCCCCCCCCCCCCCCCCCCATGGAGGCTCAGTTGAACATAAAGCCAAGCAATAAGAAGGTCGCTGTGCCCGGACCCACCTTACCCTCACTTGACTGACGGAAGCATGGGAGGCATCCTGAAGAAATGCGGCCAAGCGGCAGGCCGCGAATGAAAAGCTTTCAGGGCTCCTGGGATCCAAAAACCCATTGAAACCTGGGGACAAGGCATGGCTGCATTGCCCCCAGGTGGCCCTGGGCAGGTCCCCTAAATTGCATGAGCCATGGCGGGGCCCGGTTGAGGTGATTGAGGTCATGAGGCCACAGTATGTACGAATCCAGGTCGGTCGCAGGCGTTGGTACGTGCACCCATCACGGCTGAAACCTTATTTCCCACCTTGCAAGGTCGGTTTATCCTCACTACCCGAAGGCCAGGTGTCTGATGTATCTGAAAAGCCCGGGAGTATGACCGTGGAGGTTGTGCCTCAGCAGATTTATATTCTTCCGCCCACAGGATCCCAGCACCTGACACCTGCGGAACCGCCAGTTGCGCCGTCTACAAGCCGGCCTGGGAGGACGGAATGACCGCCACCCACTTCCTCTTCTCATTCCCCTCCAAGTCGTCCACGGGGTTTCCGGAATATCCGCTCTCTTCTCCAACCTGGGGGTCCGGCGACAAGGACCTCTTCCAAAACTGTTTGATGCAAATAACCCGCCTTCAGTCATCCTATTTATTCCAATGCTGTCTGGCGGGTAGTCACAGACGCAAGCCGGGCTGTGGTTACCGGTTGAACTGGGGCCCTTCCTGTGCTCGTGGGCTGCGGCATGCTGACGGTCGTTGGGAGTTGTATATATTCTTGGGGGGTGGGGTTATTTCCATGTGTTCGCGAATTTTTTCTTTTTTCCACTCTATCGTTCCAGTTATTTATTGTTCTTATTATTTGACTCGTGAGTGGGTTGATGGTTGTTGTTATTATGGTATGATCCCGCTACGCGAGGTATGGAGGTCAGCCGGGACGGCTGCTTTTTCACGGGGGGGGGGGGGGGTGATGTAGTGACATAGAATGGGCCACTAGGGCGCGTAGCGCTGGTTGCTGGCAGAGAGGGGGATCTAAGGGTGTAGTAGCCCGGCCTGCCGGCAGGGTATGTGATAGGCCGGGGAAAGGGATGTACGGCAAAGGTGACGGAGGGGACACGTGAGGTGAAGCTGGGAACCTTATGGTAGGTTCCAGAAGGGGGCGTGGCCAAGGACGGAGCCAGGCTACGCTGGGGGTATGAAAGGGAGAACCCGACTCAGGGTCGGGGCTGTCGTCTGGAATGGAACCCGTCGTGCAACCAAATCTTGGTCTCCGTCTTTGTCCCCGCCTTCACCTCCTCGGCGTTGTTGGTCAGGCAGTGTGCTAGCTGTTCTGACCATAGTATAGTTATCCCCTGTACCTGTGATGGCTAGAATAAACGAGAGTGCCTCCTACTATTAATGTCTCTGAAGTGATTCACTGCACATCCACAAAATATCTCTTGGGCATGTGTGGACATTTTTACAGATTTGTATGTTTAATACGTGATCGCTAAATAAAATGCATATTATGTATGTTTTTGTTACTGCCATTCCAGTTGCTTTCAGCCAGGAATATTGCCAACACATTCACAGTTACTTTTTAAGTGCATTAAGTTTTGGAATGTGTATTTGGATGTTATATTTAATCACCCAGCTTGTTTGCATATTTGTTTACTGTAGTGAGGCTAATATACATTATCTGTATGCCTTCACCTCCCAGCGCCACGTACCTTGCGACCTTTCCGTATTGGTATTGGTATGCACAGACGAGGTCAGATCTTGCCATGGGCTTCTCACTGTTGCCAGGACCTGGTAATGAGACCCTCGTCAATGTGACCTTCGACATCCCGTCACGTGGTATCAAGAAAGAACTTGACAACCTGAGTGTGGGTAAGAGCTTGGGTGTGTGTGGGGGTGTTGGGAGGAAAGTCCAGTCGGCAGAACAAGAATGCAGTCTGGTTCTGTAAAATGTAACTTGTAAAGGAGTGATTTAACTAAAATGTAACTGTTGTATGTGTTTCAAAACAATTGAATTGTGCAACAGTCCACATATTGAACCAAGGAATGGTTAATTCCAGCCCTCAAGGAGTGCACAATCTTAGCACCCGATTCAGTACTTCCAAGGTTGTGAATGCCTGTGCGCTCTATTTAAATGTTAGCTCTTTTTCACCTAATTAAAAATGCAGGTCTGTCTCCACTAAATTCTGGATTCAAACTAGACATTCAATTTGGCAAAGCAAAGTGCCCCAACACTGCTTTATTTGTGCCCCTGAAAGAATGACAACCGCTATTCTAAACTAAGTGGTGGTGACGTCACCACCGTGCTTGCACCAGGCTAACTGCACCTTGAGGCCATGTGAAGTTAATTAGGCTCACTGGAAAATGAAGGGCCAGATCCAGGGAATATGGATGGACTCACTGAGGTGACTAGCAGATGCACCACCCGTGCTCTCCACTGTGCCAACTCACTGTTTTTATCCATAAGAGGTTTTAAACTCACTGTTTTAGTCGCCCAGCACTCTGCTCATTGTTATGGGCAGCACTCCTCTGCCCTACACTGTTGTCGAAGGACGACTGACTCCAGCTGCTCACTTGTGTCCTTCACGAACCTCAACAGGTCGATCTTGACACCACTGGTACCAGTCATCGGCAAGTTCAGTCAGCTCCACATAATTCAGTACCTAATCAGCCAATCTGTTTTATAGCCTGTGCCATGCCCATTTAGCCTCCTCTATCTAGCGAAGAAGAAGCTGCTTGGGCATGCGGTGGCTCGGCATGTGGGCTATATGACCCAGTCAACACAGACTAGCCTGTTGCAGGAGCTCACTGATTGGATTGTGCCCAGATCTTTCAAGGATATGTGCTCCTCAAATTAATAATAAAGATAAAAATGAATAAATAATATAAATAGGTACACAATGTATAAACGGAATACAAAGTATTTTACAGACATAAATTGACCATGGCTGAAGCACAAAGCCAAGCTCAGTGACCCTTAAAAGCCTGGCCGAAAAGGTAGGAGAGTTCCACTGCTAAGCTGTAGCACAGCAGGGTGACAGGAGAGCACAGAGAGATGTGGTGGACGACCGCCTGATTGTTTCAAACCGGCACAGATGTGCCTTGAAAGACTTCCACGTTTCACAAGCAGATAGAAAGGAAGGCATAACTGGATGACAAGACCCGGAGCTTCATATGGAGCGATAAGCCAGGTAGCTTCCACACAGTGTTATGCAGCCGATGAAAAGATCATGCTGCTCAACTGATTTGGAACCTGACCTCTGCTGCCAAACTGGAGCTAGCCATAGGCAAACTGCCCAGGTATGGAAACTTCTCCACTCTTCCACAGCTGTTCCATCACTCATGAGGAGTGAATGGGATGGAGTATTTGAGACATAAAATACTCAGGAAGGTGCTTTGCATCTTTGGGATGTATCTCTTACTAACACACTCCAGGTTCAGCATTAGAGTCTCTAACTCTTCAGAATGAGTAACAATGAGATCATCAGCATACAGACCATGATTGACAAAGAGGAGGGCATTTATCAGGCCCCCATTGCATCTGTACAAGATGGAAATGTCTCTACTACAGCCATGGATAGTGTTTTAAACTACGTGGCCAAAGAACATGTTAAATAGTGATTTAAAGCTTTCGTGACTGCAGTAATTCATATTCTTAGTTTTTTCGGTAAAGTCACGTTGAAGAGAAACAACAAAATAACAAAATATATATAAAACAATAAAAAAAATAAAAAATTCTCACGACGTTTCGACCATAACTCAAACGGTCATCATCAGGTGTGTCGGTTTGCATAAATTTATTTTGAAAACGGCATATTTATTTATTTATATATATAAAAATAACGTTTGCGTCACGCGCAACGATTGGCTGTTTGCCAGGACTAGTCCATCTATTTTTTGAAAAGAGGAGGGGGGAGACGAAATTTGTTTTTATGTATGCTGTCTGAAAGCCACTGTAAGCGTGAACAATCAATCAAGAACTGAAATGATTTATCAAATCTTTCCAATGATTGCTAAGATAGAATCCATCTTCTCGGTTGAAATTGTCTCTGTGTTTGTATATGTGGATAGCAGACCTTAAACACGGTAGGACCAACACCTCGGCCGTAGCAGATCATTGTTCTAATTCAGTAGGCTCACATGCCATTGACTTTTCCAAGACGGAGGTTCTTTGTAAGCCATCTGGCTTCCATGAGAGATTCGTTCATGAGGCTATCCACATATACAAACACGGTAGGACCAACACCTCGGCCGTGGCAGATCATTGTTATAATTCAGTAGGCTCACATGACATTGACTTCTCCAAGACAGAGGTTCTTTGTAAGCCATCTGGCTACCATGAGAGATTCGTTCATGAGGCTTTCCAAATATACAAGCACAGAGATAATTTCAACCGAGAAGATAGATTCTGGCTTAGCAATCATTGGAAGGATTTGATAAACCATTTCAGGTCTTAATTGATTGTTCACGCTTACGGTGGCTTTCAGACAGCATACATTAATTTTTCGTCTCCCCCCTCCTCTTTTCAGAACATAGATGGACTCGTCCTTCTAAATAAACTGCCAAATCGCTGCCTGTGGCGCTAACGTATTATTTTAATAAATAAATAAACGCGCCGTTTAAAAATAAATAAATGCAAACCGCCACTTCTTTCAAATGTTTCTTGCCGTTGGTTTTTCACACCTGATGATGACCGTTTGCGTTACGGTCGAAACGTCGTGAACATTTTTTTATTGTTTTATATATATTTTATTATTTTATTGTTTCCCTTCAACGTGACTTTACCGAAAGAGCTAAGAATATGAGATCAACATTGTTTCCTTTCAGGCTGGTAACAGGTGTGGTTCTGCATGTTACTTTTTTGATGGAATTAAAGATGAGAGTGATTTATGATTGAGCTCTATTGAGGCAGTTTCCATCTCATCACCAACTCATGACCACCATTCACGGCTCTCTGAACCTCCGAGCGAAGGCTGTGCTAAGCCACCTAATTCTCGGAAGTGGGAAGTTGTAAATAACTTAAATACATCCTTTGTCATCCAGGGTATCTGAGGACGTTTGGACCGCGTACCCAATGCAGCCATTGCAGCTGCATAAGCCACATGAGGTGGAGGGGGGAAGACGACGCCAACCCCACCTGCAAACGATAATGATATGTTCACTTGCAACCTTCATAAAGTAGCTTAGACCATATTTTTGGTTCTTTCGGTAAAGTCACGTAGATTGAAAAAATAATAAAAAAATAATAAAAGATAATTACATTAAAATAATAAATAATAAATAATTATTATTTTAAATTAAATTTGTTATGTTATTTCATTTCATTATATTTTTATTTTATTTTCTATCTACGTGACTTTACCGAAAGAACCAATAATATGAATTCCTGCAGTCACGAAAGTTTTAAGTCAAAATTTTGCTTAGACCAGGCTGTTGTGGTTTTTGAATTGTGTCATAGAGGGATGCTCACCACCGCAATGGAAGTATGGCAGGCGCATCTTACAGATGACCAGCCGATGGTCAGTGGGCAAATCAGCTCCATGGTAGCTTCTGGTATCAAGGACATGGGCTCGCTTTCACTGTTCAGTAACTTTATAGTCCAGCAGATGTTCTTGCTTGAAACTGGCATGCATCCATGGTGTTATGGGCATGCGCTGATACTGGAACAGCGAGTTGTTTATTACAAGCCCATTGGCTGTATAGAAGCCTAGCAGCCTCCTACCGCTGTTAATCTGGCCCTTGCCTTCCAATCACTCTGCCCAGGTGCCTCTGTCATGACCCAATCAGGCATTAAAGTCACCCAACAAGATTACTCTATTCTAAGAGGCAACTTTAGATGTTCGTTCATCTTCGGAGGGGGCATAAGCCACCACCACCATTCCTTACCTACTGTTGATGGGGAGATGAACCCATACGAGCTTGGGACTCACAGCTTTCCACACCTCGATTTCACGCTCCCACACCCCCTTTATTCTTTTGTTCAAAAGAAGAGCTACTTCCTATTTGATAATTTTCTACCCCTCGTGGTGACTGGAGCCAGAACCAGTCCACATGTATTCCAGAGATCAAGTTGGTACCGGTCCAGCTTCCAATAGAGGGATAGCAGCCTCCCCTTAGCAGTGAGCATTTGGACATTCCACGTGGCCAACCTCAGCGATTTCCTATTTTAGTCTTGAGGAACCCTGAGGGGCAGGGGATACAGTTTGGCTCCGCCAATTGAGGTTTGTCCAAAAGACGTCATGGACCCCTATTTCCCCACAGTTTACAGCACAATCGTATTTTGGTATTTCCCACGTTAATAGGTAAGGTATATATGTTGAACGTATTTCGCACCATAGTCAACTATGTTAGTCGGAAGTAATTCATCTGGAGGGGTTACCAGACCCTAGCATACACCTTAGAGCACTGACAGGCTTAAATACATAATCTGACACGAAGCGACACACATACATAGCGAGACGAATGTATACATTAACAAACTGCTACACACGGACAAGAAATACTGTAAACATGCGCTTAAATTTTTTACTGTATCAAAAATATTCATGGCAAAATAAGTAATGATCCCTACATTTTGAAATCTATTTACCTTGACAGATACAGGGTCTCTGAAAAGTCACTCTCTATTTTGAAGACTAATGTAGATAGTGTAACCATCTTGCCATTAATTACAAGTTCAACCATTACCATTCATTTGAGCTCTACCACATTTTTAATTAAATATTCCTACATGGCTTGATGATAATTGCGCCAGTCAATGGATAGGTCATAGAGGGCCAACAGAATGGCTTGCTAGAAGTCTTGATTTAACAACTCGTGACTTCTTTCTGTGCGGTTGGGTCAAAGAATAAGTTTACAAATCGCAAACAAGGACTATTGATGAATTTAAGATTAAAATTTGTGAGGTGCTATTTAACATGCCAGACATTTTTTTTATAAATTTGCCCAAAATGTACCTTTAAGGTTACAGAAGTGTATTGCAAATGCTGGCACCTATGTTGCATTTTAAGTTTGTATAAAGTAAATGCTAATAAAGAATGTATAAAATCAGTAAAATAAATGTATTAATATCTTATTTAGTTTTGGAGGAATGAAGGAATACTACTTTAAAAATCGGATGAAACGACTTCATGAGTATTCTTATTTTCTTACATTTCAGGCACAACGACTATGGTCACCTTTCCAAGTGTAAGTTTAAAACAATATTTTTCCAACAAAAAATGGAATGACAGTAGTAACACATGTGAAATCTTTGAATGTAATGGTGCCTTTGGAATGGCTCATATCACATGCAAAAGCATAGTGTCCAAGATGCTCCTGAGATGTATCGTTGCACTGAATCATTGGTTTAGGCTCTACTCTTAAAAAAACAGCAGTATGAATCCAGCTGCTAGAATATTATATTTTCTTTTTAAACGTTAACTCGAACTTAAACCTAAGAAAAGTTAAATCTTGATTTAAAGCTTTCGTGACTGCAGGAATTCATACTCTTTGGGTCTTTCTATGTACGTGACCTTACTGAACAACCCAAAGAGTATGACTAAGAAAAGATAAATAGAAATCACGTAGATTGCCATGTTTGTACTGATCAGTTTTATGTCTGTGTAAATGTTTCAGATGCTGAATAGGGATTGGTTCATGATGAACCTGGTGGCCAAGTCTGGAAACCAAGAGCTCTTCAGCACGTCGCTGTATACTGGATATTATCCTCGGTTAAACATCATTATTCAATGTGATCGATATTTCTATCAGCCGGGTCAGACAGTTCAGTGTATATTATTTGGTGTCTATGGCAATCGCTTGCCTTACTTGGGACGCTTTAACATCTCTCTGCAGGTTTGTTATTCTCTGAGCTGCCGTAATTGTAGTTATAAACATAACCTTGCATGTAAAGGACATGCACTTGTTCATTTTATACATATTGCTTCTATATATATACAATTATTATCATGATGTTTTAATTGAACCATTCTGGAATATAATCATCAAATGACCAATTTCTAAATTGAAAAATGCATTGTTTAGGCAAGTAACATTGGCTAATGTGTATATAAGGGCTCTCTTGGCTAACTGTGCTGATGCTACTGGTCTTCAGAGTTCTTTGGGGGACGTAAAGAAGACCTGGCAGAATGTGCAGGGAGAGAAGGGAATTGTATCCCTGCAGTACTCACTGTCTGAGACGGCGCTAGAAGGATACTGGTATCTGCAGGTGGAGGCAGAAGAGGTAAGAAATTAATGATACCAACTCCCGCTTTCCTTTGGTGAAAAGTCCTGCAAAATTCAATGAGGAAAGGGCATGCAGATTTTAAAACCGCTCTTAATAAGTGACCTCGTATCTGAAGGTAACCCAGCAGAATAATTTTTTTTCTCCAGATTTGTTTTACTACTAAAAATAGAGGCTCATAGTACTGGTCATCAAGGCTCAGTCTTTAATTTATATTCCTGTTGGAGGGGTTGGGCACAACAAGGTTGTTAGGGTCATGCTCTGCTAATTAAAAATAAATTCCACCCGTTAGAGAGGACTTTGAGCTGTTTCTACCGTTTACAATATCAGGGACACCCAGTGTAAGGAAAGCCGTATGTCGATAATGTTCCTGATATACTGTCTCCTGTAAATTTCCATACCAAAATTCGCCTATTTTTCTGAAACAGTTAAGATACTTAAACATGATCGGAGGCCCTGCATTATGTACCAATGCTGCAACATTGCTGCAGCTGTGAGTCAGAAACTAAGGATAACAATGTTCCTATTATGTACATATAGTAACCTATAAATACCTTTAAAAAATGCATGAAATATGTTCCATATTGAGTAAATGTTGTGTCATGGCATAGCCACCAAAGTCAAACAATATTATAAAAAAATGCATGAATATACTCTCATAACTAAGGGTTGTAGTCGAAATATTGTAAATTTGAATTTGTCATAATCCAGAGTCCTTTACCATAAGGTCTTTCTCAACATTTGGGACAGGTTCACCTAGAAGGTTGGTATGAAAGCCAGAATACCTCTATTTGTGCTGTGTTCACAATGTTGCTTACAGTAGCTTTAATAATTAATAACGAATATGGGAAGGGTCTAGCTCTGTATATGTTTAATTCTGATCATTTTGTTTCTTTTAAAGCACGCAACCAATAGCTACTGGAATGCATTTGAAGTAAGAAACTATGGTGAGTACTGCAACATTTAAATAATGTTTTACCAATCGCAAGCTTCCTATTTTGATGTACAGATTGTAATAATCTCAACATCACTCGGCATTAAGATTTGCATTGAACTGCCCATATAGGACTCACCACTATGATCTCTACATTGGGTCAAACTTAACATCTCTTAATGTTCGACGGCTTGTGCACCAGATCTTATTTATTCATGATGTACTTACAAAAAAATCCGCAGACTACCTACTGGATCTCCTCTCTGTTTCAAAGAACAAATCTGACCTCAGGTATTCGCTCATTTACCAGCTTCACACTCCCTATTGCCGTACAAAAACCGGAGGAAGGGCCTTTGCTATTGATGCCCCCAGGGTCTGGAATGTTATTGCCAATAAACTGCAACTTGAATCACTACCTATGAGATCTTCACTCAAAACTGCTCTAGAGGAGTTGTACACCCCTAGCTGCCACTGCTATTCAGTGGCCTAAAATATGGCTCTAGGGTTTGGTGTTACATGTTATTTATGTAGTTTATTGTTAAAAATTCGGTCACAGTCCCTATGATCACTATTACATTGCATTTATGGCTTTTATTTTGGTGATTTCGAAAAGTTTTTTTGGTTTGGCCATGTTTTTGTTTATTGTAGTACGGAGATAGACTGATGGCCTTAATCTTAGTTGTCTTGTTGTTGTTTTTGTTGTTATTTTGACTTGCATCCCACTGGGATTTTTGCACACAGCGTTGGTGTACGGTGCTATTTCAGGAATATTTTGATGTTTTTTTCCTGGATTTTCTGTTTGCACAGTCACACATAGTCACTTTAAGATGTTTTCTTGTTCATGTTTTAGTTTTTTGTTTGTTGCGGTTGCACCCAATTCAAGAGCCGAATGGCTCATAGGGCTATACCAAATAAATGGAACTATGGAACTAAATGGAACATGTTTGAGCACAGCTACTTCAGCCTCAGATTATCCCATTAATTTTACTCAAGGAACGTTCAGAGTTGAGACACCAACCAAATGCAATACATATGGTGGTTGTTAAATGTGTTGGCAAACAAACACACTTTTTGTCATTGCACCTTAAATTTTGATTGCTTCAGATACCACTCCAGAAAAAGTGCAAATGTGTCTGTCAATAGCTCTTCGTATTTATGCATACAGTAGTTATGTATGAATTAATGTGTATTAATATAGATGTATATATTAGAACGCGACCCAACTGGCGCGGATCATTCTGTTGTCATGTCGTCCAAGCGCAGTGAGGACGAATGCACAGAAGAAACAAAACTTTGATTAGCGCACCATGTCGAGCTCGTTGAGAGGAATAGATTGCCGTATCGTTCGCATTCAACAGACATAAAATGACGTCGCAACGCAGTTTATGTGAGAGCCGGGGGCTTATGGGACCCCGGGGTCCCGCCATAAGGTTAATATATATATAAAAAACAACTATTTCAAAGGGTCTTGGCTTTGGATATTTGGATAATTTAATTTTTATTATGTATGAATGTTGAACTTATTTCACACCGTACATACCCAACCGTGCTAATCGAATAATTTGGCATTTCTGAGAAAACACACAATCGAGAGGATAAGACTCAAAGGTTCAGAATGATGGGCTGTCCACGCAATTAATACAACCTGGCTGCTTATGATGGTGATTAGATACTATCATAGAATATCCATAGACAATAATTTGCTGAAGGAATTATAAAACTAGCTAAAAAGTCACTTTTCTGAAACCAATACCATTAATTTGACATCCTGTACCAACCAGCCTGTCTTACCTTGTGCATTGCCTCCTGTTTGTTAAATGTTACTTTTTATATTTCATGTAGGAGAGATTGCGATTTGTTTATGAAGGGAATTACGTGTAATGTTGCTTTTCCTGTAGGAAATCAAGCTTGCCGGAATGGCATATATTGTTTCTTGCATCATATATTGCTTCTTTCATAATCTATTTTAATATATTTCCGGACTTTAATGCGTTGTTATACCATATGCAATACAAATATTTCTGCTTTGAAGCACAAACACGCCTTCTGAATCAATGTATATACTTAGTCTTACAAAGAGTTTACTATATTTTCTGACATACATGCTTCTTCTCTCTGCAAATCTTTAGTGGATATTGTGCTCATTGACGTCCCACGCTACTTCGATCTCAGTGGAAGTGACGACCTCTCTGGAGTGATATCTGCATGGTAAGTTCACATATTACATAACTCTCAAGGCTGATGCATGAGTAATAATTCTCAGTCTCACAGTACCACAGGGATATTTCACAGGACTAAGAATTTGCTCTCCATCCCAAACAAACGGTTTTAATTTCCCTATATTTCCCCTTATTACTGAACAAAAAATTCGAGACACAAGCGTGTCCAAACTTCGTATGCTGGAGGCCAGGCACAGTGGCACAATAACAGCAAGGGCGGTGAAATGGCCTAGTGGTAGCGAATTTCCTGCTTGGTGCAGAGGTTTACAGTTCTAATCCAGCAGCCACCCTTGAACTTCTAACTTGAACTTCTTTCACACCGTACATATACAACAGTCCTAATCGGAAGTATTAACCCTGGTTATTACTGTTGGTGTTATAACGCACCTTCTGCATTTTAATAATGTGTGCGGTCTGCTTTACAGTGGATGTTCAAGATAATCTAACGTAATTTTCAAGAGTAGGCCATACAATTGTGTGCTGGGACCATGGTCCACATTTGCCTACAAATGAATCAATTGGGATTATACAAATGATCAATATTTTCCCCCTACTGGCAAACTGATGCCTGTTTGCAGGCCAGGTGCTGGGTCACATTGTGCCCACAGGGATATCTGCACATGTGTGCACCTTTTCCAATGACTGAAATGAGATGTGATTTACAGCCCTTTGATATGAGGGCTGTAAATGAGAAATAGGGCTCTCAAGAGATAGCGCTGATACTATTTCTCCAATCCTGGGTGAGATGAAGCACAACTCACTGACTTTCATCATAAAGCTTCTGATTGAGATCTGCCTACACTGGCACAAAGCATGGCAGATTGATGAATGGGGTTGGCATGGAGCCCATGGCATAGACGGTGGGAAAAGGTCCAAGTGGATTCAAACATTAGATATGGCAGAATAGCTTACGCTTGGCTTCAGGAATGGCCAACCAGACTTAAATGAAAGATTCATTTGAAAAACTCGTGGAAGTTGCATGTTAAAACATTTGTTACACTCCATTTAAACAATGCAAAAATCTGAATATCATGCAAGATAATCTGATCTCAGAACATGTAATACAACATGTTTAACTAAAATGGACCCGATTTAAAATTGCTATATCTTTGCAACCACGAACCGCTCATGAATTAATCTCTTACCACTTGAAAGGGCGGGGCATAGAGTTTCAAATGATTACTGCTAGATGCCTCTCCCAGCGCACAAACAGCCCCTAGCCTCAGTCATTCGCCAGATGGTGACCCCGCAACAAAAGGCGTTTTGCGTTCTAGAGTTCAGGGCGACCACGGACCTCAGAGGAAAACGTGAGAAGAGAGGCATTTAGGACGAATTCACCTATCATCTCGATGTTGTCCGTACAGCAGGTGGAAGGCACATAGAGCATTTATAAAATGGTTAGTAAAACTTGATAACTCATTAAACCGTTTGTAACTTTTTGTATAATTGTAACATGTTGCCATCGTGAAATATACTGCTTTAAAATTGGGCCCATCTCTTTTAAACACCCTGTATTTATGTAAACATTTGTAAATGGCATAAAGTGTTTATGAACATGCTTAGGTACCAGGGCAAGACCTTCAAAGGCACAGCAACTGTCACCATCGGTCCATATTACAACTCTAATGCATGGATTACGAAGGATGTGAATGTAAGAAAAACAATTGCATCCTAAACCTTTACATACACACAAAGTATTTATTGAGGTCTCCTTTGCCCTAACATGTATTTGGATAAGGTGTTCATTTTGATGACTAAGCCACTCATGCAAATGAGGCAATCTAGGTCTAATAGCCCTGGCTGCTGAGGGAAAGTGGTAACTGCTGTGTTCGGCAGTACACATGTCAGCAGACGACAGTATATATGGGGGGAAGACAACTAAGGGATAGTTCATGGAGGTGTCTACCTGGAAGCCCCTGGAAGCTGCTAGTAGGTTACAGAAAGGGGGAATGGCCAGGGCAGAGCAAGGCCACGCCAGGAGCATAAGAGGGAGCCCTGAGCGAGAGCTCGGGGCTGTTGCTGGAAGTGGATCCCCTCACCGTGCTGTTTTGCCACCATCATCGCCACCGTCATCGCCACCGTCTTCACCATCACTGGGCGCCGCTACCTAGACAGCCTGCCAACTGTTCTAGCTAGATAGTGCCGCCGACAATAGACGGTTGTGTGTACAATATATATAGTGTGCACCCATGTAGGGTGCCTTTAGACCCATTGTGTGCAGGAATACATGAAGGTGCCTCCAATTACTGTCTCCGAACTGCGTCACTACACTCGTTTAAACAAAATTAACGTGAAACTTGGACAAATTAAGAATAATAATTGGCAACACTATTGTTTGCGATCGTATGCTGGAATTGTTTTACCATTTCTATGTGCAAAAAGGACAAAGGCCACCCGTATAGTCTTAACAAACTGTAGGGGCAAGTGCTGTTAGCGAGCACCTATGAAGGCCGGAACGGTACACGAGGGGGTGGGTGGCCAGCACCACGCCCGACCGCATTTGTCTCCCCAGTGGCGATGTTTAGATACCACACCAGGTACTTATTTGAGGCTGAGTCGACCTAGGGGAAGCCCAGAACCAGTTCAGATAATAGTCACTGCTGTTGGCCGTGGGCAGGTATCGAACTCGGGTGGCCGGGTTCGTAGTGCAGCGCGCTAACCGCTACACTACCACTCTCCACTATATGCACATTATCACTTAACACCAACAATAACTGCCATTCTCCACTCAGTCACGATGTGCCAAACAGAAGCTGCTTGGGCATGCAGTGATTGGGCATGCAGGCTACATGACCCAGCCAAGGCAGCCTCGCCTGTCAGAGGGCCTTACTGATGGGACTTTCCAAATGTTTTAAGGTTTTGTTAACTCCTCACACAATCCAGTTTTTTTTATCTGAGGATGGATCATAGGCAAGGCAGCATAAATGTTTCAACCCAGCACAGTTGTTCCTTGAAATTGGTCAACATTTCACAAGCATATAGAATAGAGGGAATAAATGTGTTCAATATGATTCTCAGTGAAGTATGGAGTGATATGACAGGTAGCTTCTACACAGCGTTATGCAGCTGATGAAACTATGCCGCTTGACTAATTCAGAGGGAAACCTTCGCTGACAAACTAGAGCTAGTCATAAGCACACTGCCCAGGTAGCAAAACTTATCTATTCTTATAAAGAGTAAATTATTTCAAATACTTAGGGACAACCATCACGTACAATGAAAGATCTGACAACGAAGTTAAAACCAGAATAGCTGCTGCAACTAGAAGCCTAGTAAACCTCAAAAGTACATGGAAAAATACAATTATATCAATCACATCTAAAAACTGACTGCTACGAGTGATACAGTGAGGGAAAAAAGTATTTGATCCCCTGCTGATTTTGTACGTTTGCCCACTGACAAAGAAATGATCAGTCTATAATTTTAATGGTAGGTTTATTTGAACAGTGAGAGACAGAATAACAACAACAAAAATCAAGAAAAACGCATGTCAAAAATGTCATAAATTGATTTGCATTTTAATGAGGGAAATAAGTATTTGACCCCCTCTCAATCAGAAAGATTTCGGGCTCCCAGGTGTCTTTTATACAGGTAACGAGCTGAGATTAGGAGCACACTCTTAAAGGGAGTGCTCCTAATCTCAGTTTGTTACCTGTATAAAAGACACCTGTCCACAGAAGCAATCAATCAGATTCCAAACTCTCCACCATGGCCAAGACCAAAGAGCTCTCCAAGGATGTCAGGGACAAGATTGTAGACCTACACAAGGCTGAAATGGGCTACAAGACCATTGCCAAGCAGCTTGGTGAGAAGGTGACAACAGTTGGTGCGATTATTCGCAAATGGAAGAAACACAAAAGACCTGTCAATCTCCCTCAGTCTGGGGCTCCATGCAAGATCTCACCTCGTGGAGTTGCAATGATCATGAGAACGGTGATGAATCAGCCCAGAACTACACGGGAGGATCTTGTCAATGATCTCAAGGCAGCTGGGACCATAGTCACCAAGAAAACAATTGGTAACACACTACGCCGTGAAGGACTGAAATCCTGCAGCGCCCGTAAGGTCCCCCTGCTCAAGAAAGCAAATATACATGCCCGTCTGAAGTTTGCCAATGAACATCTGAATGATTCAGAGGACAACTGGGTGAAAGTGTTGTGGTCAGATGAGACCAAAATGGAGCTCTTTGGCATCAACTCAACTCGCCGTATTTGGAGGAGGAATGCTGCCTATGACCCCAAGAACACCATCCCCACCGTCAAACATGGAGGTGGAAACATTATGCTTTGGGGTTTTTTTCTGCTAAGGGGACAGGACAACTTCACCGCATCAAAGGGACAATGGATGGGGCCATGTACCGTCAAATCTTGGGTGAGAACCTCCTTCCCTCAGCCAGGGCATTGAAAATGGGTCGTGGATGGGTATTCCAGAATGACAATGACCCAAAACACACGGCCAAGGCAACAAAGGAGTGGCTCAAGAAGAAGCACATTAAAGTCCTGGAGTGGCCTAGCCAGTCTCCAGACCTTAATCCCATAGAAAATCTGTGGAGGGAGCTGAAGGTTCGAGTTGCCAAACGTCAGCCTCGAAACCTTAATGACTTGTAGAAGATCTGCAAAGAGGAGTGGGACAGAATCCCTCCTGAGATGTGTGCAAACCTGGTGGCCAACTACAAGAAACGTCTGACCTCTGTGATTGCCAACAAGGGTTTTGCCACCAAGTACTAAGTCATGTTTTGCAGAGGGGTCAAATACTTATTTCCCTCATTAAAATGCAAATCAGTGGGCAAACGTACAAAATCAGCAGGGGATCAAATACTTTTTTCCCTCACTGTAGTTGTTTCTACAGTGCTGCCAAGCAGGGACACTTTAATACAGAGACAAAATAAGATATAAGCATTTGAGATACAAGGCTTAGACTACTATGAGAAATACCACACACACAGATTATTGCGCAAACATATCAGTTCTATCACAAAATATTCGTTGATGAGATTAAAGAAAACTGCAATCGACATGTGATACAGAAAGAGGGACTATCCAGGGCATGGGGGCAGTAAAATTAATGAGGATGACCCAAGATCAATCATATGACAAATGTGATAACACAATCTGATAAGTCAGTACAATGCCTAACAAAGACTATGAAGGGCTGGCAAAAGTTTGAAAATTGATGGCCAAGGCATCAGTGGTACCCTCACCACCATTATGGTCAAATGATAGGTGATGATGATCATGACTTTATTACCAAGCATTGAAATTTGTACTTATTTCACCATTAATTTCAGTAATATTGACTCGTAAATAAAATACCTTAAACCTATTTTTTATTTGTTAAATTTTCAGGTTGATGGAAATGGATACTTCACTTTCCGCCGGAGTGAGCTTACACAGCTGTTTTTTGCCAATACCTCAGAAATATATTATTCACCAATCTCAGTCGTCATTACCGATGACGCAACAGGTATGTATGTTGAACTTTTTTCGCGCCGTATGTAGCCAACCATGCTAATCAGAGGTGCGTATATTTGTCATCTCATTGCACATATAGATTATTCGCTAAATAATTTTTTTGTGATTTTCTTCAACAATTAATCCACCATTGAGGTGATGTAGTAACGTATAAAGTGTTATTTACACAGAACAAAATGTGAATTTTAGTTGCATTGTGGATGCATATATGAGTTTGATCAACACAGCCATAAAAATAAGCTCTTAACTACTTTCACAGTTTCTAGCCTTTCAAAAAAAACTTCATTAATAATGTATACATTGGTTATGGCCGAGGGTTTGTTTATCAAACCTGCATTAAATGTGTCAATGGACAATGCTTAGTGTGTAAATATAAGTGATTAATTGCTATCAAACAATGTCATGTCAAGATATTTTTAAGTAGAACAATATTGTAGATATTTACTAAATTGTGTAGGTGTATCCATGGATAGTGGATAATTTTTAAGTAACAAAAAGAAGGAATATGATGTTATCCATACAATGGCTTTTATTACAAATTGGGCCCTATTTCATCATTCAAATCTATGCTGGATCAATGCCTAATCAAGTCGTCTCAATCTATCACGAATCTATAATATAACAATCCAACTAACTCGTGCACATGTTCTGATCTCATCAAACTATCTCTACAATGGTCAACCTCTGGGGTGTATTACCTCCTTGGCCATTAGTCTTGACGAAGTCATCATTTCCTCTGGTCAAGGCCACTTACTTTTTGTAACAGTCAAGATTATGTTTTTGACGATGTTCTCCAATTCTACTGAACATCGTGTGCGAAAATTTTCCGTCCACCAAGTTGCCAGTTTGATATTTACACGCAAGTATATTCAAGCATATTAATCTCACCATATTTTGAGGATTGTATTTCAATCCAGTTCAAGAAATTACCACGGCCATTGCCATACTACCATAGACTCGCTGCAATTTCCCTGCTTCATCTGCACAGTCATCTTCACGTATCCTGGTGCAACCTACTCTTCTTGACAAGTCTCAATGCTTTCATTGCACTTTATATTATGCACGTATATGTGTCTTACCCTTTCCCATTGGGAGATTCAGTATATCCCCTGTATGTGTACAAATGCACATGCCAGATTTATTTTTCTAGTTTGAGATGTGTTTCTTGACAGCTTTAAGCAGGCGTTAATGTGTCGCTGTATGATTGGGTGAGCTGAAATTTAACAAATCAACTAAAACATGCCTCTAGCCTTTAAATATATGAATTGGCATTCACCAAAGGTGAAACATATAGTTTATTGCTTAACCCCACTTATATATTACAATTATATCACGCCTTAAATATCTTTGTTTTGAAATTTGAATCTGGTATTCAGCTATTTTATAAATGGTTGGCAGTTGTTAAGACGACGTAGCATTTGTGCTGATATTCTGCTTGTTGTTGTTGATCTTAAAGGCATGAGAATGGAAAAAAACACCTGGGTTATTTTTTCAAAGAACAGAGTTGAAATTTATTTCTATGGGTATTGGAGATTCATTCCTGGAATTAACTTTAAAAGTCATGTAAGTATATTTTCAAGAATAGTATTTTATTATTCTAACTATTGTCAATGTGCTTCAAGAACTTTTCTCAAAATTGGAAGTTTTCAGGTTAACATTTATGTTTTGAGTCAGTTCAGTCTATTCAATCTCTGGGGACAATAAAATAAGTACCCCTCTCTAAGAAGCCATAATGAAATCCAAAATGTAGAATGGCTCCTGTCACGACAATGTATAATGTCCACCGCTAGTTCAAGACAGCCATCATTGCTCAAATGAGCAATGCTGGCTATTACATTGCAATACTACAAACTGTAAATAGAAGTTTACATGTTTTATTGCAATGACAACTTACCCATAAACTCAGCTCTCAACAAAGTACCTCGACACTGACTCAAGTTCCGATCCACCTTATGGTATCCCGCTGAATCACACCAAGTTCCAGAGACCGTGTGTTGGTGTAACCATCAACCTCATCAGAACATCAACAGGCTGCTGCACACATCTCTTTCATGAATAAAAAATTTAAAGACAAGCCACATTGCAACTGTGGTGATGTAACTCAAACTATGGACCATATAGTAAACCACTGTAGTCTATGCTGCTTTAGCGGAGGAGTAGCGAAACTATACAAACTCTCTCCTGCAGCCCACTCGTGGCTAGCAGACACATCAACATTTGGTATTTAGCTCCTGAAAACATTGCCATACGTAATAATAGAATTGCTTATTGAGCAGATAACCTTTGGTTATCACGTATTCATTTCATCTTTTTAAATTTTGCCTGAATAAAATTGGCATGATTGAAAGTTACTTATTATTGCTTTAAAATCAAACACTGTAATGCCATAATAAAAAAAATGTGATGTATTGCAATGTAATTTTAAAAAGGAAATTTCAAGCTCTAATTATTCTTTGTTTGCATAATTTACAGATAAGACTTTATCTGGTAGATGGACTGCCACTAACTTCAAAAGACCGAGAGACAAAGCTTACAGTGTCAGTCAAACAGTACATATCAGGTATTGAGCAGATGAGTTGCCCTGGGATCAATAATGGATCTCAGATATTGGATCAAACTGATGCCAATTACACAGTACCAACGAACGGAATTGTTTTCATCGATGTGCCAACTTCCAAAGAAGCAAATTTCCTGACTGTGGAGGTATGAACCATCCCAATGTATCAATAGTTAAATGTTTAAATGCAATGTAATCGAGGGGCTGTATTGTCTTGGTGTGGTCTAAAGATTGTTGTTTTACTGCATTGCCCAAAACTTGCAATTGTTCTTGACAAATTTGCAGGTACAGCAGTCCCTCGGTTAACGTTTTTTTATGTTTTATGACAACTGTTGTTAACCAAAACAACCGTCAGGGGCCGTCCATAAACGACATCACGCGATTTTGAACGATTTTTGACCCCCCCCCCTACCTCGTCACATGGCGTCACAAAAAGTCAGACCCCCCCCTCAAATATGACGTCACAAAGCTCTGACCCCCCCCCCCACCCCAAAAATATAACTATTGCCATTGTAGTGCGTATTTAATGTGCCGCTGCACTCTGATGTTGTAGGAGAAAACATTTATTAAAAAGTCTATTTAATTAAGTAGAACGTGTTGTCTATATTTATTTAAAGTTGTGCATTTTTAAGTGACGTCACATTTCTCAACCCCCCCCCCCCTCGTCACACATCGTGACAAGTGTCTGACCCCCCCCCGCCCCCGTAGGTGCGTGACGTCATTTATGGACGGCCCTTTAGATCAAATTAGGAATTACATGTTAAAACATTAATCCGTTCCAACACGACCAGAAGTTGACTTTTTTTACCCTAAAACATAGTTTATAAGGATAATTATTTTAATACTCTTTTTTCCTTTCGCGAATTCACTTTAGGGGCCATTGCAACAACTATTAATTCACTTATAAGTTGAAAAATAAGTAAAAACCAAGAGAGCTGTTTCCACTGCCAAAACAGAAACCAATGTAAACAAAGCCAATCGAGGTGTAAACGCTCATAAATGGGCATCGTTGGTTGGCTGAGGCATGCTCAGCCAACTAAACGAGCGCTCGTATTGGCTGAAATTGGCGCCCGCGTGTATAACGTAAACATACCGTTAATCAAAATTTTACTTTATTCGTAACTATAGGGTTCTACAGAAGGCGAAACGTGAACCGAAAAACTGCTAACCGATATCATTGTTAACGGAGGGACTACTGCATGTGTGTACTTCCACGCTCATATATATGTTTTGTGACTGGCTTAACTTTTATCTAGGTTACTCATGTAACCTTTATTGTATTTCTTGTTGATGTAACTTTTTGATCCACCCGACTGGACATCTGTGAAAAGAGCTTCATAACTCATCAGTTTCCTCCAGTATAAATACATATTCTGATTCTGATCTACAGGCAATCCTTCACTCAGGAAAAAGTGACTTTGGCTTTGCTTAGAATTGGCGTTGTTCAATGTGTCTATTCATGGTGTATTTATTGTGCTGCATCTAACAGGGGATTTGTGTTTGTGTGCACGTGTTTACATCAAGGCACGATTTGGTGAAGTCGTTGTTTGTAATTCGATATCAGCATGGGTGAGTTTTCAAAATGGATCATTTTTGCACGTGACAGCCAGTGAAACCAATGTCAAGGTGAGAATCCTGATACTTGACACCATCGATTGTGTCTATTTCTGTGCTGAATATGGAATGTTGCTTATGACTTGTCCTTAAAGAAAGGAATTCTGCAGTGGGTGTTCAAATCACACATAACCAGATGGAGCATAAGTTACTTGCCCTGATGGAATCATAACAGACACACTATAAATTTTGATTTAAGGCTTTCGTGACTGCAGGGATTCATATTCTTGGTTCTTTCGGTAAAGTCACGTAGAAGGGAAACAATAAAATAAAAATATAAAACAATAAAATTATCACGACGTTTCGACTGCAACACAAGCAATCATCATAAGGCGTGAAAACCACAGCAAGAACATTTTCTTGATAATTTTAATGTTTTATATTTTTATTATTTTATTGTTTCCCTTCTATGTGACTTTACCGAAAGAATCAAGAATATAGGCTCACACTATGTTCACAATATGCCTCATTACTGATTTACAGGGTGAGTAATTCACTCTTCTCCCTGCACAATCAAGCCTGATATTTCAAAAATAAACGCACAATTGTTATCCTTCATGTACTCACGTGTTCAACATGTAAACCTACATAATATAGAAGTTCTAGATTTAAAGCTTTCGTGACTGCTAGGATCCATACTCTTTGGTTCTATTGGGTAAAGTCACATAGGTGAAAATAAAATGACTAAAATCACGACGTTTCAACCACAACACAAGCGGCCTTCATCAGGTGAAGGGATGAGACTGTCTGGAGGACAGCGCTGGAGTGAGAAAAGCCACGCTTAGATCACGACCTTTAAGCTGTGTGAGAAGAAAAACACAAAGCGCCTTGACAAAGGAATTAGCATATAATTTAGCATTGAAATGGCTCATTGAAATAGCTAAGTTAAAGTATACACATCCACAGAGGTACCCCTTGACAAAGGAATTAGCATAGAATTTAGCATTGAAATAGCTGAGTGATTAGCTTGTAACTGGACACAGAAATAGCTATGTTAAAGTCAGAGCATATACATTCACCGAGGCACCTAGTACTCATCAAACAGGAGAATTTAGCGAAACACAACCACGCTCAGACAGCGGACCTTTAAACTGTGTGCGAGCAAACAAGGTGTTCTGACAAAGAAATTAGCATAAAAATTAGCATTTGATTGGCGGATTTTAGGAAAGAGGTGGTGTACGTGCCGGTTAACTCCCCCTCCCCCCCTTCCCCCCCCCCCCCGCGCCAAACGGCAAGTCCACCGGCACGTACACCACCTATTTCCTAAAATCCGCCAATCAAATGATAATTTTTATGCTAATTTCTTTGTCAGAACACCTTGTTTGCTCGCACACAGTTTAAAGGTCCGCTGTCTGAGCGTGGTTGTGTTTCGCTAAATTCTCCTGTTTGATGAGTAATAGGTGCCTCGGTGAATGTATATGCTCTGACTTTAACATAGCTATTTCTGTGACCAGTTACTAGCTAATCACTCAGCTATTTCAATGCTAAATTCTATGCTAATTCCTTTGTCAAGGGGTACCTCTGCGGATGTGTATACTTTAACTTAGCTATTTCAATGAGCCATTTCAATGCTAAATTATACGCTAATTCCTTTGTCAAGGCGCTTTGTGTTTTTCTTCTCATACAGCTTAAAGGTCGTGATCTAAGCGTGGCTTCTCCCACTCCAGCGCTGTCCTCCAGACAGTCTCGTCCCTTCACCTGATGAAGGCCGCTTGTGTTGTGGCCGAAACGTCGTGATTTTTGTTATTTTATTTTCACCTACGTGACTTTACCCAATAGGACCAAAGAGAATATAGAAGTTCTTACAATTACTTCACCTTTTACAAATTAAACCTCTGCTTTTTTCTTTAGGTTGGGAGCCCAGTTTCCTTCACATTAAAAAGCTCGGACAGCAGCATCACCAAAGTGTCTTACCAGGTAATGCTGTTTTGCACTCTAAGCTACGTTTTTAGCTATAAGCAGTCAAATATTTCAATACTCTGTGGTTTACAACAGCAATCTACCTTGGGCCAACACTACCTGTTACAATAGCATGTTTGACACTTATTTCCTACTAGTGGGAAATACCCGGCGTTGCTCGGGGGGAAAATATATTTCAAAACATCTCTTAAAAACACAACATATATACACAAATACTAAGCTAATGTGAAAGCCTGGCGTTCCATTTGCTTGTCCATTTGTCCAGCAAAACAATTATAAGAGGCTTGAAGAATTCCTGAATGTAAAAGTAATAGAAAGTTGTTTAAAAAGGTTTCTGAAAATTGTCGACCCCCTCCCCATAAAAAGATTTTTACCCCCCCCGTAGGCATATATACCTACACACCCTACATACAATAGAGTGAATAGTGTCTAGTGACTGTAGCAGTATCTGCTGACTACAGCAGTATCTCCTGACTGTATAGTCGTATCTACCGACGCTGCAGCAGTATATACTGGCTATAGTGGTATCTACTGACTGTAGTATTATCTACTGACTATAGTAGTATCTACCGAGCCTACAGAAGTATCTATAGTAGTAACTACTGACTCTATAGTAGTATATCGTGACTGTATAAGTATTTACTGACTGTAGAAGTATCTACTAACTCTACAGTAGTACCTACTGACTGAATAGTACTATCTACTGACTCTATAGTAGTAACTAATGACTCTATAGTATTATCTACTGACGATAGTAGTATCTACTGACTGTAGAAGTATTTACTGACTATACTAGTATCTACTGACTGTAGAAGTATTTACTGACCGTAGTAGTATCTACTAAATCTACGGTAGTATTTACTGGCTCTATCGTAGTATATACTGACTGCAGTAGTATCTACCGACTCTGCCGTCGCATGTACCACCTCTATAGTTGTAACTACTGATGATAGTTGTATCCACTGACTATAATAGTTACTACTATAGTAAAAACAGACAAACACACGATGACAGAGACCACCACAACTACCACCACCGTGTGGTGGTAGTTGTGGTGGTAGTGGTGGTGTCATAGACTGGTGTTAGTTCGTAGCGAGCAGCAGCATCTATGAAGTATGGACACACACAGACACAACAACAACAACCGGCATTCGCCAGTGGTGGTGACGTCACCACGATGCTTGTGCCAGGCTATGTGCACCTTGAGGCCAAGTGAAGTGTCGAACGCCCTCTGGTAGGAGGTCACAGGGCAGACCCAGTAGGTGCTATGGGTCGACTGACTGAGATAACTGAGATGACTAGCTGATGCATCACCTGTGCCCCTTACTGTGCCAACTTGCTGTGCTTTAGCAACCCGGCGCTCCGCTCGTTGTTGTGAGCATTGCTCCTCCGCCCTCCGTTGTTGTTGGAGGGCCACTGCCTCCAACTGCCCAGTAGCGTCCTTCACGAGCCTCCTCCACAGAGGCCGATCTTGACACCGCTGGTACCAGTCATCGGCAAGTCCACTCAGCTCCACATCCTACTATACCACGTCATGCCATCTCTTCTCTAGCCAGTACCGCGCCAGTTTTGCCCCCTCGATCCGGCCGAACAAAAGCTGTTTAGACATGCGGTGGCTGGGCATGCGGGCTACATGACCCAGCCAACGCAGCCTTGCCTGCCGGAGGAGCTCACCGATGGGACTTTGCCCAGATCTTTCAAGGATTTGCGAGCTCCTCAAACAATCCAGCCTGGTTAAACCCAGGATGGATCGGAGGCAAGCCAGCCATGTTTGTAACCGGCGAAGATGTTCCATTAGGGGCGTCCACGCTTCACAAGCATGGAGAAGGGAGGGAATGACTGTGGCCGAGAAGACCTGAAGCTTCGTGTGGAGCGAGAGATCAGGTAGCTTCCACACAGCGTTACGCAACCGATGAAAATATAATGCCGCTCGACTGATTCGGAGTGAGACCTCTGCTGTTAAACCGGAGCCAGTCATGAGCACACTGCCAAGGTATGGGAAACTCTCTACTCTCTCTACAACTGCCCTATCACCAATTGGTAGGGGTGGAGTGACTGATGGTACAGCACCTTTCCTGGCACACTGAGGAGCGAGATGCCCCTGTAGTTGTTACAGTCTGTGCGGTCCCTCTTCTCAAAGAGGGGGACCGCAAAGGCATCCTTCCAATCCTGTGGTCCAGACTGTTGTTATGATGTCATGTAGGGCAGTCTGTGCACAAACGCCACCCTCCCTCAGAATTTCGCTTGGGAGATCATCTCTGCCCGGTGCCTTTCCTGGTCTTAGACTCTGGATCACCTTCAGTACTTCCTCAATAGATGGCACCTCAGCCAGCCACTCACAGGGGGTGACTTCTTCTTCCAATATTTGAGGCACTGCAGCCTCGGCAGGGTCATCCTCATTTTGTCCCACAATGTTTTCTAGACTGAGGGATTTCCCCTCCCCCATAACCTCACAAAAATGCTCAGGAAATCTGCGAACCTGTTCCTGGGGGTTGGAGATTGGATCACCGCTCTTTTTGCTAATGATGTTAATAGGTGTGGCGCTGCAGGTTACTTTTTTGATGGAATTAAAGAGAGATTTGTGATCACGTGCCATTGAGGCAGACTCCATCTCCTCAGCGACCAGCGACCACCACCCATCCTTGCAGTGCCTCACAGCTCTCTGAACCTCCGAGCAAAGGCTGCGGTAAGCTTCCTCATTCTCAGACGTGGGATGCTGTAGCCGATGAGAGTGGGCCTGTCGCTTTTTCTCAGCCAGCCTGAACACCTCCTTTGTAAGCCAGCGTCTCTGGGGAGGTCTGGACCGTGTACCCAAAGTAGCCATTGCAGCTGCATGAGCCACAGTCCTAAACCTTTCCCATTTCCCCTCGATATCAGGAGGAGTCGGGGACAATGCCAACCCCAGCCGGAAGCGATGATGAACTTCTCGCTTGCAACTTTCATCAGCTAGCTGAGACCATGCCACTATGGGTTTGAATGGGGTCCTGGGTGTACACCCATCACTGGAGTGAAAGAGTGGCAGGCGCATCTTAAAGATGACAAGTCGATGGTCAGTGGGCAGATCATCTCCACGGTAGGTCCTGGTGTCAAGGACATGGGCCCGCATCCGCTGTTCCATCACTATGTAGTCAATCAGATGTTCTTGCTTGTACCCGGCATGCATCCATGATGTTGTGTGGCTGCGCCAATGCCGGAACAGAGTGTTGGTAATTACAAGCCCATGGGCTGCCCAACACTCTAGCAGCCTCCTGCCATTATTATTGAGCTGATCTGGCCCATGCCTTCCAATCACTCCAGACCAGGTGCCAACATCATGACCACCTCGGGCATTGAAGTCACCCAACAGGATGACTCTATCCCGAGGGGCCACTTTAGCGAGCACCTGTGAAAGGAGGTCAAAGAAGGTATCTGACTCATCGGCCTTGCCTGCATCCTTCCACGGATGTTCGTCTTCGGTGGGGGCATAAGTAACCACGACCACCACTGCTCACCTCTATTTGATGGGAAGGCGAGCCCAAAGTAGCTTGGGGCTTACAGCTTCCCACAACTCACTGCCACACTCTGACACACTCTTCATTCTTTTGTTCAGAAGAAGAGCCGCTCCTTGTTGTTTGGCAGTCTCCTGCCCCAAGTAGAGGACTGTCCACCCCTCATGGTGGCGGGAGCCAGAGCCGCTCCACCGGACCTCCTGAATACCACAAAGATCCAGGCGGTACCGGCCCAGCTCCTGACAAAGGAGTGGTAGCCTCTCCTCCGCAGTGAGCATTCAAACATTCCACGTGGCCACACGTAGTGTTTTTTTGTTGTTTCTGGAGGAGCCCCGAGGGTAAGGATTCAGCCTCCTGGCTCCGCCAAATGGGGTTGGGCCAGGAGACGTCATAGACGCCTGTCCCCAAGGGGCCTCCGGCACAGGTTTAATTTAAGGTGGAGGGGATACCAGCCCCTAGCACCCGTCCAGAGCCCCTATTTGGTCGCTGTGGTGGTTACACACGCCATGAGGGGAATGGGCAATTTAAGTTGGCCCTCCCCCAACGGCACTGTCAACCACAACGTTGCCGTCCGGCACCACGAGGAAGTAGTGGGTTGTTTTTGCCGGACACACACACAGACACACACACAGACACCACACACCACACAGACACACACAGACACCACACAAACCATACACAGACACACACACAGACACCACACACACAGACACCACACACACAGACACCACACAGACACCATACACACAGACCTAGTGAGGCCTAGTCCCATGCAGAGCCCCCGGCCTCGCCTAGATTGCACAGCCGGCCGAGGTGGCACCTTGGCAGGCTAGGGCTGGGCTGCTACCCCGCACCCCCACACCCACGATCCCCCCGACCGCTCTACAGTAGTTATCAACGGCGTATAGTAGTAGCATGTAGCGACTCTATCATAGTAACTACCGACTATAGTAGTATACACTGACTGTAGTAGCAACTACTAACTCTACAGTAGTATCTACTGACCGTAGTAGTATATACGGACTGTATAGTAGTATCTACTGACTGTAGCAGTATTTACTGACCGTATTGGTATCTCCTGTCTGTAGTAGTATGTACTGACTCTTTAGTAGTGTGTACTGGCTGTAATAGTAGCTATACTAACTCTATAGCAGTGTGTAATGGCTGTAGTAGTAGCAGCTATGCTAGCTATATAATGGTACTTAAAACTTTCATGACTGCAGCAATTTATATTGTTTGGTTCTTTGGGTGAAGCGACGGAGATAGAAAAATAATAATTATAGTAATAACAAAGTGAATAAATAATAATAAATAAAGTAAAAAAGCATACAAAACAAAAACCACTAATGTAGACTGTAGCCTAGTTCTAAATTGGAGTGAGTATACTGGCACTCTATAATTTAGACTGTAGCCTGGATATTAAGTTTGGTGCGTGTACTGGAAGTCTATAATGTCGACTGTAGCAATGGTTGTTAAACTGAGTGAGCGTTTAATAACCATTATAGACTGCGCGTACACTCACCGAGGCTAAGAACCAGGCTACAGTTGACATTATAGATTGCCAGTACAGTCACCCAGCTTAATAACCATTGCTGCAGTGTGCATTATAGACCGTCATTACACTGACCAAACGTAAT